CGTCGAATAAGTCCTTAGCCGAAACTGAATAATCTCGAATGGCCCAATATGGCCCAAAAGGCCTAATACTTCTAATTCCAAATTCCAGGGCCCAGAACTATACTCCACAGTGGGCCACAGGGCCCAATAGTCCAGACCCAGCCCTCTAAGGCCCAAAATCCAAAGTATGGGCCAAACCGAGGCCCAAAACACGCCAAGCGTACTGGCTAAATGGTGTGTACGTTGCACGTACCTGCATGTACGCCCAACGTACTTCCCTGTTAAGTCACTTTTTCCATTAAGTGCTTAATACCCTAATCCAAAAGCTATAATCACAGATCCAAGTCCTCTTCAGTGTCTTAATCCATAAATTCGATCACTTGGTGGCTTGAAACACACCAAATGAGCCCAAACATTGAATAATAGCAACTAACTCCATAGAAATGGCTAGATCTCATGCATGGTTACATAAAGGCCTTAAAGGTTAAAACTTTACTGCTAAAGGAATGCTTTGAGCTCCAAGGGTGGCAACCTTAAGCTCAAAAACGAAGTTGCATGATAAAGATCCATCCTTTGGACCTAAAAAGGTCCAAATCTCCATAATCCTAGATCTAAGCTTCTAAGAGGAAAGTTGGAAGCTTTATACCTCCTTTGAGTGCCAAAAAGTGAAATAGTCCCAGATCCTTGAGCTCAAGATACTCAAGTTCTTCTTCTTCAACATCCTCTTCTCTTCTTCCAAGCTTTTCTTCACCAGGGGTTGGTAAGGAGGCCATGGGGGGGGGGGCTATAATGGGGTATTTATATGTCTTAAACCCTAAAAATTAGGGTTTTGGCATCTGCTCACGTACGCTGCGCATATGTGTGTGCGTCCCCCGCATCCAAGGCGCCTCTACACCCCGCGTACACCAAGGCTACAACCACCGTACGTCTTATGGGCGGCCTAAAATCTCGGCCCACTTGCTTAAGGTCCATTCCAAAAATCCACTTGTCCCATTATTAGTCCAATTAATAAATATTAATTACTTAATTACATAATACCTCGAGAGACGGATGTTACAGTAAGCCAAGTTTATGTTTTATTTTATGTAAACATTTATGTCCATTAGATTAACGAAATTATTTTATCTGGAAATTGTTTGCGAATAATGATTTACTCTCAGTAGTATCAATTCTTTTAGTGTAGTAGCTGTCATATATGTTCTCTTCATGGGGTGTAGCATATGTTCGATGCACACCACATACCAAATTGTCTTTCTATAGAGGATAATATACGTTAAGTAGATCCATGGTTGCAGAGATCGGGATTAATTGTGGATTAATCGCATGGTGTTCTTCAACCGACTAGGATTAGTGTGTTTGACGGAAATTATGGATTAATCGGTCTTGGCGGGATTAATCGGTCAATAAAAGTCAACAAAAGTAAAAAAAAGTCAAAAAAATTCAAAAAATCAAACTTTTTTTTTAATCCAAAATTTTCAAAATTTCAAATTTTCAAACATTATACCATAATGTTCATATTTTCGTATTTTCAAAATTTTAAATTACAAATTCTCTTATTTTCTAATTTTAAAGTACTTATTTTTCTTAAAATATATTAATCTTTGATTAATTTTAATATTTTATTAATAATTTATGGTCCCCAATTAATCCACGCCAAAACTGATTAATCCCTTAACACCAGTCGACCGTCTAGCTACCATCGAACGATTTTTACAACCTTGCGTAGATCCGAGAACATGTATTCTATTCCACGGAGATACCAAATGAAAAATAAATAAAATAGATAAATATAAAGATTTTTTATATTAAACAATAATATGATTTTTTTACAACTTTATACCCAAATAATAAAAATACCAACGATTTTTCATGGGTTATAGTCACCACAATTAAACATCACCATAACTTGTGAACAATAAGTCGATGTTTCGTCACTCTCTGAATGAAAAACAACATCACAAAATCTCTATAGCCACATGTTTTTTGCGTCACCAAAAGCCATGTATATACTAGTGAAGGTTGAAGGTAATTCAAGTCAAGATTGAGATTGTTAATAAGCGAGTTTTGATTTTGGTGACCTGCTTGAATAACCCGACACGAAACTAAAGAAGCAAACCCAAATGACGATTTCAATGGGATAAATATTTAGTCTGTTATTCATGTTCTTTCATTTATAAGCTCAGAGTTGGTTAAAACTCAATGAGAGAGGGAGAGGGAGAGGGAGAGGGAGAGAGAGAGAGAGAGAGAGAGAGAGAGAGAGAGAACATGTATTCTATTCCACGGAGATACCAAATGAAAAATAAATAAAATAGATAAATATAAAGATTTTTTATATTAAACAATAATATGATTTTTTTACAACTTTATACCCAAATAATAAAAATACCAACGATTTTATATGGGTTATAGTCACCACAATTAAACATCACCATAACTTGTGAACAATAAGTTGACGTTTCGTCACTCTCTGAATGAAAAAAAAACATCACAAAATGTCTATAGCCACATGTTTTTCGCGTCACCAAAAGCCATGTATATACTAGTGAAGGTTGAAGGTAATTCAAGTCAAGATTGAGATTGTTAATATGCGAGTTTTGATTTTGGTGACCCGCTTGAATAACCCGACACGAAACTAAAGAAGCAAACTCAAATGACGATTTCAATGGGATAAATATTTAGTCTGTTATTCATGTTCTTTCATTTATAAGCTCAGAGTTGGTTAAAACTCAATGAGAGAGGGAGAGGGAGAGGGAGAGAGAGAGATAGAGAGAGAGAGAGAGAGATTTGTTTCCGCTAATTATCTCATTATCTTATACATTGTTTTGTATCCATGTAGGGATGTAAACGAGCCGAGCCGAGCCGAACTTGGCACTAATCGAGCCAAGCTCGTTTGAAGTTATAGAAGCTCAAGCTCGAGCTCAAGCCCATTTCGAGCATGGAGTGTGAAGCTTGGGATCGGCTCGTGTAGCATACAAAAAGCTCAGGATCGACTCGTTAAGGCTCGTTTATTTGTGAAGTATAAATGAGCGTAGTTCAGCTCGAGATTGGCTCCTTAGTAACAAAGTTAATGCTCATTAAGGAGCTCGATTTATGAAGTTGAAAATCACACAAAAAAATACACATTAACCTTAAAACTTACTTTATATTTAAGCTTATGTAACTTTAATATGATAATTATTAATTAATAATAATATATAAAATAAAATTATAGAATTTATATTTATATAAAAGCTTGTTAAGGCTCGCGAGCTTAAACGGGCTCTTATCTGAAGGCTCAAGATTGGGCTCGTTAACTAACTTAGTTTTATTCTAGGCTTGAGCTTGGGATCAGACTCGTTAAGGCTCGGCTCGTTTCGAGCAATTATCGATTTGAACTCGGATAGCTCACGAGTAGCTCGACTCATTTACATCCCTATATCCATGCATCTCTAGATAGATTTAGGCCCGTGCAGGGGAGAGGGGGTCTTCGCAAATAGTTAGCCCATTATCTTGTAACTTATTCATTATTCTCTAGATTTAGGTCCGGGTAGGGGGAGGGGTTGTTAGCCCATGATTAGCCCATTATCTTGTAACTTATTTTGTATCCATTTGTCTCTCTAGGTTTAGGCGCACGTATTGTTTGTTTTGTACCTATGTTTCTATGATATGCAAGCACCTAAGCATGGTTGATATTCTATAAATAATCACATGTATCTTTGTTTTTAATATAGTGCCAGTATAAAATTATATTATACCTTAAAAATTAACATTAACGATTATTAGCTGTATAGAAATACTTGTGCTTGATGACATTGATTCCAAAACGCTGGTTTATAATACATGTGTCATTCCGTTCAAAGGGAGTGAAAGCATATGTAGTTTTTATTTATTTATTTATTTTTATATATATTTTTTCAGTTAAGTAATCTTAGATTGAATTCTATTTTAAGCACAACAATAGTTCGTGTTTAAATTTACAAACAAGGCTGGTCTATTACTTTTGGCGACAAGGAATATTGTTTATTTTTTAGGAACATTCGTGTATGCCCTATCTTGATTATACTTCAAGCACAACCAATAAAAGCTCTCAATCATTCCTTCAACGTAAAGTTCAGCCACATGTTATGCATCTTTTGAATTTCAATAATCTAATTAATTCACAAAATAAATTATTTTTAAGAGTAAATTACAGTATATTAAGAATTCTGTTGATGGTAAAATCAAATAAAGATAAAACATAACGAAATTAACGGTGATCATGTGACGGGGACTATTCAACCAATTGTCCTTATCAATTCGTATATATGGTTGGTCAATAGCATATATATGTATAATAATAAGACAAGTGAAAGTATCATAGGTGGTATGCCATGTTTTAGTTTTTATATAAACGTGTCTTGTGAGCTCTTCTATAAATAATTTGATATTAATTGATTCGTTACATTTCCAGGCATTAATAATTGATCCCGGGTTCTCTTCATCGAGCTAGACTTTTTCGTAGGTATGTCATACAAACGCTTACCTATATAGTGATGATGTTAGATTATGTAGCTTGTAGCATATAGTGGATGCATATAAATATGCAATGAATGGCAAAAAAAATTGGGTCTTTTGTGTGAGAGTTGACACAGTATGTTAAAGATAGAAACTAAGTCCAAAAATATAATCGAATTGAATATTGTTAATATCTTATAGACGAAAGAACATCTTCTGATAAATCTATGTATATACCCGCATAATACTACTAGTGGATTCCATGTGACTCTACAATGGTTGTATTATTTATGCCTGTAGATGCATGCAGAACTAGATATAGTCGCGTTGATATTTGTCATTCAACAGTTAGAGACTTTTTGGAGTCCATGCACCTATATATGTGACAAGTCATATGTTCTTTATACTTTCGCTTCTCAATAATGTTGTCTTTTAGCAATTGATCGTATTTACCAAATTCGTATTAAAGCAATCGATGTTAACATATACTAGAGTTTTGGTTGAACTATGAATATAAACTTTTTCGATAGGTACCCTGCACTATACTGATGTCTACCGAAGAACATAAGATCATCAGGGAATTGGAAAAGGATGTCGAAAGAGATTTAGAAGATGAACTCAAGGACGGTATATACCATCTTGCGTTTAGGTTGCATCGGCTTTATCAACATCAAAAAGAAAGATATGGAGGTGAATCATCTGACCCTAATACCAATACCAAAGCCCTTTCAGAGCTCAACATAAATATACGAATGGAAAATGGAACTAAAATAGAAATCAAGGAGCTGAAGAACGGAAGCACACAAGAAAGAGTAACACGTCCTAAGAGTTCTACATCGATGAACCTCAACAGAATCATTCCTCCGAACAAAACCAAGTTCAATTGGGAAAGTACACTTCGATCAGAACCCGTTATCAAGAAAATTGGCAACTCGACTAAGCCGAAGTCCATAAATAAAGTAATTGGAAGGGACATAAAAGGTAACCGGGCCGTGGCAATGAGAACGGAGAAAGTACCATTAAAGAAAAATATATTGCAAACCCGTTTGACGAATTAAGATATTTCCGGTTCAAATTAATATATATAATTTTTTACTTGTAAGTACACATATAATTTATTCATAAATTATCAACGTTTGTGTATATTTATTGTATAAATGTTAATACTTAATAAGCCTCAACGAGGCAAAAGTGGTGTGCTAAATGTGATTCCAGTTCATTTATTTATGGGAAATGACGTATTATGTATTTCAATTTTACATTTTCAGTAACTAAATTTTTTTCCTGCTTTTTAATGAAACAAAGTTGTTTTTTTCGGGTTTAAAAGATCCCTTTCGAAATTTTGAAATTTTGAAAGGGGTAAATCGGTTACACATTTGCCATGTTACTAGATTAAATGTCAGATAAGAGTCTTTCTTATTAAATCATTAAATAAGGGCCCACTCTTTCTCTCTCTCACATACACACAGAGATGATTACTAGAAGCAAAAACAAAGTTAGGGGTGAGCAAAACCGAACCCATAAATCGAAAAACCGAAAACCGACAAAACCGAAACCAAAAAACCGAAACCGACGGGTTGGGTTTGTATTTTAGATATCATACTAGAGATGTCCCACATCGAAGCTGGGATCAAACTCACCCTTATATCTTCTTCTATATAATGAAGTCATTGGATTTGGGTTGATCCTAACCTAATAAGTCCATGGTTAGTATTTGGTTTCTAAGTTTTAAGGTTTGCGGTTTTAAAACCGATTAAACCCGAAACTGAACCTGTAGAAACCGAAAAACTGAGAAACCGAACCCATCGGTTTTGGGTTGGGTTGGGTTCTAATTTTCTTAAAACCGATAGTTCGGTTTTGGGTTTGGTTTTAGGTCAAAACTGACCCAAACCGACCTATGTTCAGCCCTAAACAAAGTCATGAAGCTCCGTTGTCTTCCATTGCCTTACGCCGGCTGGCATGGTATAACCATAACTGTTGACTCTATGAACGCCGTTGGGCCCACCCAGATAAGAACATTCATTAATTCTTACCTAAACTCAGATGATGAATATACCGAAGTCAAAGATGGAAGGACTTTAAGAAATCAGTTTCATAGTGAAAACTTTGAAGGAAACCGCGGAAGGGTTAGAGGAGATGGATGCGAAAGCAGATCCGACGGTAGTGACAATGTCGAAGGTGCAAAAAATCCCACCTCGCCCTTCTTCTGGTTCTCGTCGGAGACAAAACTATCACCAGTAGTTCCCGATTCCTCTTATTATTTGTTTCCTATTTCTTTTTTTGCTTTTGTTGTAGTGCATTGTTACCTGAAAATTCAAGAAAAAAAAAGAGAGAAAGACACCCAACAACACAGGTGATCGATTCAGAGTGAGAAGAGGAAAAAAGACCTAATTCTTTCAGCATAAAGATCTTCACACACATCCATACCCGGAGGATCAATTGCGTGAGTAGTAGTTATATTGAAGTGTACCTAGGTATCATGATCATTTGAAAACGATGAGGAATGCTGAAATCAGAATCAACAAATAAGGATGGGAATTTTAATCAGAGAGTTGTGTTTGTGTTTTTTCCTTCTGGGCATTTGCAAGGGGTTCAAGAACCCTAATTTCCTCTTCTTCATCTATATGTTATATCAAAGATAATGGATTTGCATAGGGTTCAACTTTGAGAAAGTGTGTATGCGTATGAGAGAGAAGACAATGGGGATTTGCATATGTTTGGTTTTCTATAGGAAGAAGAAAGAAGACGATGGGATGAGAGAGAGATGGGTGGGCTCCAATTTTTATTATTCATGTTTTTACTAAAAAAATGTCAAATCGGATAGAGAGGGAAGCCACATTAGGCCTAATGCTTACGTGGCTAATGTAACCTGATATATTAGGTTACATTAGCCAAAAAATTAGGTTATATTAGGCCTAATGCTTAGGTCGCATTATATTAGGTCGCACTGACCAAAAAAGAAGGCCGACATCACCTTTTTCCCTTAAAAAGCACGAAAAAACTTTAAGAACCGGGAAAGTAAAGTCGAACACTACCACAAAAAGACTTATATGACCCGGTTAAATCACTTAAATAACCCGGTTTTGAACCGGGTCTTCAAGTCAGCGAGTCTTATGTGAAAAAAGAAATAAAACCCGGTTTTAAAACCGAGTCCTATCAGTCTGAAAAGAACGCGGTTTTTCATAAAAACCGGGACATATAAGAAGATTATAATACACAAAACTAAGCCACATAAGGAGAGTAAGTCGCGGTTCTACAACACAAAACCAGGTCATATAAGGAGATAAAAGTCCGGTTCCAATCCTTAAAACCGGGTCATATAAAGACTAAATTCATTCACATAACCGACTCATATAAAGAATTTTGATTTTATAATACTTTATTTTGTAATCCAAAATCACACTGTGTTACAATTAACTACCAACACAACTGAAACTTACATCCAAAACACATATTCAATACGGATAGTATGCTCGGATGAACAAGTTTAATAATGTAGACATAACAACCAACCATTATATTCATTGATAAAAGCATCTTGAGTGTCACAAAAATAAAAATAAAACTCTTTAATTTAGTTATTTCTTACTACATGAAAATTTTCAAAAAATAAATTGTTAACACATCGCAGAGAGATTGTCCCATAATCAAGTGTACCAGCGATCCTCCATCCTCACTAAAAAAACAAACACAACAAAAAATCAATTTTTGTCTAACATTTCAAAACAATTGAATCTAACAGAAAGTCATTAATAAACCATTTAATTTGGGAGGACTTCGTATGTGCCCTTCTCAACCATCAAAATATCTTATTTGTCAGCCTAAATATGATATTTTGATGTTAAATAAAGGCTTAAATATAAAGAATTCTCTCATTTCAAGTTAACGTGTATATAGTAGATAAAAAAGTAAAGGATAATGAAGATGCACCTTAGTGAGAACAATTGTAATCCACAACCATTGAATTAGAGTGTCGACTGCATCTTGTGGGATGCCAACTTCATTTGATATCAGAGGAACATGAATACCTTTAAATGTATCATCTATGTCGCCTATCATAACCTTCAAGTGATTTTCTCATAGAGGAAGTGGGTGTACTAACTCATCATTCTTTGTCACTTTGTTAGTGTGAAAAAACTAGTCAATGTGAAAAAACTAGTCAATAAACATAAGAATGAAGAAAAGAAGAAGCATAAACTTGTTAAGATTAATCAACCAAAATAAGAGAGAAGCAAGAGAGAAGAGGCAATAAATTACCTGATTGGCATCACAAAGGCTCCCTACTCAAAAGGTGTTTGATGATAACCATAACACCTACACTGATCCAAAGAATCAAGAAATGAACTTCAGCATAACAAATATATAAACCTTATAATAAAATTAGTATTTTTAACTTTTTCTTGCAAATACAAAATGTTTGTTGATATATTCCCAAAAAAAAAAAAAAAACCCTACAACATTCTTGCAAAGTATAGAGTTTCTTTCCACATTTCCATGAGAATACAATTAGGCTATAGCTAATATAAGAAAGATTACCAAAAGCAGCTTCTTGTCAATAGTCAACACTCGACATGAAAATGTCTCTTTCAGTTCCAGGTTTACTGCAAGACAAACTGCATTGTCACAGAGCCATCTTGCTTCATTTTGACCAAATTTGTCTCAGTGTTTCTCAACACTAGTTTATAGCTGCAAATTATCAATAAAGAAAATGAGAAAATGTAGGACTAGAAGTAATTTGAGAAGATATTAAAAGCTAAAATTGGGAATGATAATGAATGAAAAGAGAAAGAGAAGCATATGTTCAAAAACATTATAAGGGAGAATATATTTTGCAAACTAAAGCCCTTGTTAACACATTTAACCTTCCTCAAAACGTTTCTGGATTAGCTTGTGCTTGTCTAGCAAACCATCTATTAACAACCTTACAAACCTTAACGCTTTTGCATTACAACTATCAAATAACACCAACAACTTAGTATGTTTGGTTCTCTCTTTTCCATGAACTACTGTTTTTGACTAATTCAATACTGTAAGAGATTCTATAGAAATAATGTGAAAGTGTTATAGCATTTAAGTACTCATGCTGCAAAAAACAAAAAGAAAATGAAATATGATTCAAAGAAAAGCATGCACATGTGTTTCAAAGTCGACTGCCTTGCTTGCCAGAGCATCACAGGCATATGCTTTCTATTTTTTAATATAAGAATAAAACAGAACATATGTAAGCCAGTATGAACTCCATTTTTTAATCTAAGCATCATCGATGGCTAGTCCAATTACTTACTCAACTTATTAACAAAATATATGATCTAATTTAGGAACTACACATAACACAAACCAGCATGAGCTCCATTTGCATGATCAATGGTTGATCTAATTACTTAGTAAAACTCTCACTGGTAGTTTTTTGTAGCTAATTCTTAAAAATGACTCAAGTTACTAAGGATCGATCAATATGTAAGCATATAACTGATGTCTAAACTTATCAAGCTCCCATTGGTCCTTTCTACACACAAAGAGTGATTTCTAAATGTGTTCAAGCAAAATCGATACTGCTGAAATAGTAGAAACTCAGTTCAAGTAACCAAAAATATGCGACTTCCAACTCACATTCATGAAAAACCAAAAAAAATAATAATTCAACCACCCAAAATACAACCCTCCCCCAAAAAGTAAAGAATGTATGTTCTGCTTTTTATCTTGAAATTGTAGTAAATTTTGCTATAAAACTGTAGTAGAATTCAAGCTCATGGTTCCATATACTTGTTCTGCAATCAACTGTGTCACCCAATGTAGTAATGGAAGTTGAATGCAGAAGATAAGAAGAAAATCGTTTCACTTACACAAAATGCTAAGTCGTTAGACGCAGACCAGACTGACATGAGAAAAAACTTGTAGTGGCGGTGCTTTGCGGTGGTAAGGAGGAGAGGCGGCTGTGGCTAGGTTTTTCCCGTTCGTTTTTTGTTGCAGTGGAGAATACATACACTTCTAGTGTTAAATGGCAGGTGAGGGAGAAAGGGATCTACTTTTCAACTTTTTGGCCAATGAAATGGCAGGT